TATTTCTCATCAATCTCTTTACATTTCTCCTTTATATAGCCCACATCTACATTGACAAAATAGCTATCCTTTATGCTCCTGTAGCAGTATTTTAGTACATTTTGGGAGGTGTAGCTAAATTTGCCTACATTATTCCTATACCATCTCGTAAAATCGGCATAGGTGTAGCTATCCTTATTGTTGCCTCTTAAGATCTCATGTATGAGGGTAATCATATCATCCTGGTCATTCACTTCCTTCGTTCCTCCGTTGTTCTTCGTTATGAACAACTCCATATTGTTTAATGGGTAGGGGAAAAAATTCGATATAATGACGCTACTTTTTTTGTTCGCCTTTTTTTTTTCTGTTCCTGGGTTGTCACTGCTGCGCTTTGGCGATTTGTTGGTGTTCAGATTTGCGGTGTTGTCGTTCCGGTTGTTATCGGGGATGTCACCCGTGTTGTTACTGAAGATGCCACCCGTGTTGTTACTGAAGATGCCACCCGTGTTGTTACTGAGGATGTCATCAGGGTTGTTACTAATGCTGTTACTGGGGGTGTTACTGGGATTGTTACTGATGTTGTTGCTCGGGTTGGAGATAGAGCCTACGTTCTCGTCGCTACCCGCGCCGATGTTCGCATCTCCTCTCTCCTCAGAGCCAATACGCGCAATCGAGTCCGTGCTCCCATTTGTGTGCTCCACTTCCAAATTGGGAGAGCTGTTTTCATTACCCACCCCGTTGAACTTCCGATTGGATACACTACTGCTGTCATTCATTTCACAGGAATAAAACACATTTTCCTCAAATGTACTTTTCTTAAAAAAACCGCTCAAACTATTGCTGCTCTTACTCTGAGAGATGCTTACAAAAGGTTCATTCTCATTTATATTGGAAAGGCTCCCATGGTTTGAAACGCTCCCCTGGTTGGAGCTGTCCTTCCCCAAAGCATTATCGCTATCGTTGCAGAAGATACTTAGCGTCTTCTTCAATTTCATATGATTCTTCATTTCGTTAATCTTAAATTGCTGAGTGGAGATGTTTAGCGCCTTTATATACTGCGAGAGGATAGAGCAGCTGTAAGAATAAACATTCAGGGGACCATAAGACAGGAACATACTATCGTTAAAAATGTATTCATTGTTCTCGTATTTATTTCGTATGTTATCGAAGAACTGGTTCCATATGTAGTAAAATGTTTTTAAGTTGCTGGAGTGACTGATGAGGTAAAAAAACAAAATGGTTATCCTCTCCTCGTGGTGGCAGAGGAAGTACTTTTCCTTAATTTTTAGGAAATCCCTCACGAGTTGTTCTAGCTTGGTTTCGCTGCTCTGGGGCCGATTCCGACGTCCACTCCGGCCACTCCCGTCACTCTCACCATTATGGCTGCAGTGACCACTCTCGCCGCCTCCATCGCTGTCCCCCCTTTGTTGCCCCTTCATTTTCACCCTTTTCCGCACGCCACACCGGGGGTCTCTCCCTTGCCTGCCCTTTCTCTCATACATGAGGAAGCCCCTCCTTCTCTTGGGGAAGTTGTCTCCCTTCTTTAAAATGAAGTGCACCTCCTTGGCATCTTTCTGGTACAGGCTGTGATAACCTATATTGGTGTTCTGCAGGAACAACTCTCCGTCAATTTTGCTTACGAAGAGGTTTCCCCCGGCGGGTCTGTGCTTGGCACCCCCGATGGGGCTCCGACTTGGGTCACCACTCTGACTTGGGTTACCATTCTGACTTGGATCACCGCTCTGGCTGATCCCCCCCGCGTCATTATTCGAGTTGCTCCCGCGGCTGCTCTGCGCCTCCTCGGCACCGAAGCACTCATTGTGGGCGTTCCTCCTTGGCCGCAGTTTCCTTGTAGCCCCCCGATCCCGAGGCCACTCATACACCTTCCTCTTGTTACTACTAAACATGTTATTAAGAATTTTGTCGATGTAGTACCTTGTAGAATCCTCCTCTATGTTGAAGCAACTGTAGGTAGAAATTTCCCTGTCCCTAACCCAGTCCTTGTTTTTAAGTGGCATGAACTCCATCAGATAATGCTGCACTGAGGTTATTATATCGTTGCTGCTGTGGTTGCTCTCCTGGTTGCTGGCCTGGTTGCCCCCCTCGTTACCCCCCTCGTTGCTTCCCTCATTGCAGCCCTCCTTGCTGATGTCATTCCTTTTTTTCTTTAACTCCAGTAATTCGTTGTAGTACAGCCTAAGTATGTTCTTTAAGAGGAAGCTGTTTTTTCCTTTGTACTTATCGTTGTTGATGAATCTGATTTTCCAAACATTCGTGACTTGTTGCTTTCTTTTCCTCCTGTCCTGGTCGGTGCTTCGCGCGTTTCCGTGGGGGCTCACGTGAACAGGGCTGCCACAAACGAGGCTGCCGCTCAGATTGGAGGATCCATCGCTGTGAGAGACCACCCCGCCGTGCACATTCACCACCCCGCCGCTCACATTGGCCATCCCACCCAATATCTTATACTCCATATTGTTGATAAAATTTAAGACATAAATGGAGACAAACGGACTGCGCTCACTCTTGGGGAAGTTCTTATGGCTCCTCAAGTTATAGTACAGCCGATTGATTTCTTCGAAGGTGGATTTCCTTCTGGATTTCCCATTTTCGCCATTTGACTGGTAACTGCTATTTTGAGTGACAGATGGGCAGGGGTAAAACAGCAGAGATGAATCGGAATAATCCGGAGGGGTCTTCTCATTATTGTCCCCTTCGTCATCTTCATCCTCCTCTTCCTCCTTCTCCTGCTTCTCCCCCTCATCTTCCACCCTCGCATCGTCAGACAAGGCATCCACTAATTTTACTTTTCTCAAATCGCTAAATTGGTAATAACTTGGTTTTCCAAAAAGGTCATTTTTCATGCTGAACAGATAGTTACGAATAGCTATTCTTCGTTCCTCTTCTCCTGTGCGATTAAGAGTGCACCACCTGGGTGGGGTTCCGTCACTATTATCGCCTCTGCTGACGAGGGAGCCATTCCTCTCCTTCTCAAGGGAACAAAGAAATATTCTTCGTCGATAAAATTTCTTTCTCCTGATATAATTATAAATATGGTTTAGGTACATGTGCGGGAAAATATCTTTGTCGTAGGAGTCCCTTCTGTACATGTTTTTAAAAATGTAGATTTGTTTAATACTCCTATATGTTTGGTTCTCCTTCTTCCTTTCTCTTCCTGCGATTTGTGCGATTTGTGCGATTTGTGAGATTTCTGCTATGTCTGCCCTTCCTTTTTTTCCCCTGATCAGCCTCTTCAAAACGGTGAACTGTCTGTTCCTCAGGTTTATCGCCCTCAGCACGTGGCTGCACTGCGGCTTATCAATCAGGTATATATTTTTTATGTAAACATTTATTTTGTAAATATTTTTTCCCCTCACATTGGACAAATAAATGAAGAGCGAGAAGAGAGCCACCAGTTGGTCGTAGGAGAAGCACTTAAAATAGTTGAAGAATTTGAAGGAGTTGTAGTTCACTTCGAACCCTGCGCCTTTGTACACAGAGATGTAGTTGGCCTTCTCGGGTACAACGCAGGGCGGGGTGGCTACCCCGTTGGAAGGTGCGGCGGTAGTTGCGGCGGTAGTTGCGCAGGTAGTCCCGTTGGCAGTCCCATTGACAGTTGCACTGACATCCCCATTGGCAGTTACGCTGGTCGTGCCGCTTCCCGCCCAGGAGCCCCCACGGTGCACCGTTCTGTACGGGTGCACGCACTTAAAGTAGGTATAGTCACTGGTGTAGAAGTGTCCATGATATATGTAGTAATTCTTGTCAACCGCGACGAACGTGGGTAGAGAAATCTCCAACTCACTGTGGGCTTGCTTCAACGCGTTTAACATTAAGTTACTGACGGAGAGGCTCTCTATGATGATGTACTGCTCTTCCTCCGGGACTCCCCTGTCTAGGATTTCGAGTTCGACGTATTCATTCACTGCGGAGCGGGGGGTGGAAAACGCATCGGTGAGTGGGAACGCACATCAGTGGGAGGGAACACACATCGGTAAGATAAGGGGCAGAAAAAAAAAAAAAAAATTACCGAAAAAAAAACGCTGTATGGGAAAGGTCCTCGCGGGGAAAAGCACAGTCTCGGAGCAATTCAGATTCCCATGCAAACAATAAAACGAGTTCACCGTATTCACATTCTTCTTGTAAAGGTACGAGTTTTCATTCCCATTAAAGGGGATCACATTTTGGCATTTATTATGAGGGTAGTAAATATAATTTAATTTTATACAGTAATCCTTTTTTATGATCAATTTTTTTAAAAAATTACACGTGTCGTCTACCGTGATGAATAGAGAAAGAGGGGCCAGTGGTTTGTCCCTCTGCTCAGCGTTAGCAAATGCGTACTTTTTTTCATACTTCCTCTTGGTCTCCAGAATGTTGAGTTTTTTTAAACTCACTAGGATGTCTTTTGTGAAAATTTCAAAATCGCTAAGTCTGGTGAAGTCTGTGTAGTCGTCCTTATAGATCGTCTCTATTTTGTTCCTCTCTATGTAATTCATTTTTGCGCGTTTTGGTTAGCGAGGCTCGGCGCCTGTGCATAGGTGGTGCGTATAGCGCATTCCCTGTGCGGGGGTGTGGGTGTATAGTCGTATTATCGTATGATAGTATGATCGTATGACTGTACGATTGTTTAATGGTAAGGGCGTGTGCCAACTGGTGACCGGTTTTCCCCTTCTGGGATGCGTTCTTCCTTCCTTTGCCTCCTCAGAGTGCGACGTGGTCTGTAAAGGAGCCAACTCGTAGCTCCTCAGGTTGGGTACGCAGCTTGGGGGGGAATAATGTGCAGGCTCACAGCATTTTCTCTTCATGTTTTTGGCCAAGCGAGCAGCAGAAGCATCAATGGGGGGGAACCAACGGCGAAGAAAAAATACAAAAGAGAGAAACAAACGAGCGAACTGAAGCAGAGTAACAAAAATACGTCCAGATGAGAAAAACATACGAAACAAATGCGGCAAAAATAGCCATGCGATTAAAGCAAAAATAAAAAAAGTGGAATCTTCAAAAAAAAGGGGAAATTTGAAAAAAATAGTAAATTTCAAAAAAAAGAATAATTTAAAAAAAAACGGAATGAATTTCCAAATTTTTGCCGAAATCATCGACCAAGGGAAAAGTCGTGGCGTGTTATGCAAAAATTTGTTTTTGTGTATGTATCTAAACTGGGGTGGGGTGATGAGGCAATGATATGAGAAACGAAGGGCAAACAGGAAGCATATATAATATGTGTACTGCCATGTCGTTAAATCCTTCACCAATGACTAAGGGAGTTATGCAGAGTTTGAGGAAAGCCCTTGGGGAGGATAAAAAAAAAGAAAAAAATAGAAACTCGACTCGAAAATTGCGAAACGTTTCACGCAAGTGGGATGGGTAACGGAGTTATTCATTTTTGTGTCGTCTCATGCCATTTTTTATTCTCACTTTGGGGTTTATTTATTTTCTTTTTCTTTTTTTTGCTTCATTTTTGGTACATGTATAGCAACCATCGGGAATGAAACGAGCAAAGCAGAAATTCTCTGCTTCACATGCAATGCAATGAGCGAACGAATGCGAAAAGACCAGTCAGCAATTTCTTCTCGTTTTCCCCGTTGCTTTGTGGTCATCGCGCGGGGATTCTACAGTGATATGTTCATCCGTGCACGTCTACAGGGGCATGACGGAGAGAGAGTCTCCCTTTTAAATATTAGCACAGCCACCGAGCTGCCAAAACGAAAACAAGAACAACGTCATACCTATAAAGAAAGCAAATGTTTCATCGCAGGTGGAGTCTTTCCCATTTCGGATGACGAACTGTACCTCTCGTTCTTCCCATGCTGCCCAATTACGTACACTTCTTCCTACATGAACAAATATGTGTTGTAAGGGGTCCTCACGACGCCTCGCACGGCAGATAAAATGGGCATCCTGAGATCCCCCCCCACACACCGGAACGACTCCGCTGAAAGGACTCCGTCGAAAGGACTCCGCCGAAAGGACTCTCCCGAAAGGACTCCCTCGAAAGGACCCCTCCAAACGGCTCACTCAGACCGAAGAGTAGCCACTCCATTTACGCAAAAAGGTTAAGAGGCTGTTTAGTTTAACAAAAAATTATCGTCACAACTGGCGCAGGTGAACACACATTTGCTGTGTGTACACAATTGAATTGTACGTGGGAAAGACGTTACTCGCCAGAACGATTGAGATGAAGGGGATTTTTAAAAAAAATGAGAAATGACCCCAATTTGACAGCACAAAGAGGGTTATACCCCCCCCTTTCTGCTTCTTCACGTTGCAGGTGCGCCATGTGCAGTAGACGAGAAGAAGGGAGAAGCCTTTACAGCACTAGCATATTTGCTAACATAACAGGAAAAAATAAAATCCCTTTGGGGTGATGTACCTTCCCCTTTTTTTAACTTACCTACCTCTGTTTATTCATCTTCTTTTTATTTGCTTGCCCATTTGCTCATTTTATGCTGCTCTATTTTTCTGTTGGTTGCCTGACCGTTAGCGAGCCAAACGTAACGCACTGAGGGATTAACTTCTAAAACTCCTAACCCATGCGGACGAGTGCTCTGCGCACACATCCTTGAGAATGCTGTCTGCACACCTCGGATGGGTAAACTTGCAACTCCGCCTCAACTTATGCAGCAAAATTGACCTCAGGTAATTGTCTTCTTTCGATATGCCGATATGGTTCGTTCGCAAAAAGGTTAACTCCTGTTCGTTGAACTTCATCTTTGGGGGGTCTGGAAGGGAGGCAAGAATGTTACTTCTGCGTAGGGAGACGCAAAGGGCAGATTACTGTGCGACGTTGTGCTTTGCAATTAGTAGCTAGTCCTGTCGTGACGGCAGGATGGAGGTTTTTTTTTTTCTCTCTCTTCCGCGCACATGTTCTTGAGTTGATTTAATTCAACTTGAGGCGCTCAAAAGAGAGTGAACAAAAGAGTGGGCACAAAGAGGCCGAATGAACAGACGGAATGAAGTTATAACGTTTGAATGCATACAAAAAGAGCTCTTGTGGGGAAAGAGAAGAGACAGACCAAGGTGCCGCGTGTAAGTGAACAAAGTGAGATAATAAAGTGTCCCTGTACAGATGAAAAACGAAAATGAGATTCTTGGCCAAACCAAAGTGAACTTGGTGGCAAAACGAAAATGTACTTCTTGGCCAAACCAGGGAGGCAAAAAAATGGGGTGAGAAAAAGAACCCCTCTGATGGTACACCCTTTTGGTGACATGCCCAGAACGAGTTAGACAAAACTGAGTGGAATGCTGACCCTACCTTTCACACCATGTTAAGACACATTTGGAATCAAATTTGACATGTTCATTATGCGGGTTATGTCTGTACCGAGCGAATGGTTTTACGGACATGTCGCCAAACTGAGCGAATAGCTCTCGCAAAATGGAAACGGTATGAATATGTGCGTGGAGAAAGGGAGTTAAAAAAAAAAAAAGGAGCTTTCCGCAGAGGCGATAAAATTGTGCGTTTTGTTTTAACACCTTCGTAGAAGAGTCTCCATGGCAGGGGGGTGAAAAAGGCCTTCTCTCGCTTGGTGTAGCATTACTCGCCGGGATTTTTCCTGGCGTGGTTTTTTCGAATGTTCAGAAAAAAAAAAAAAATCTGGGCAAACCGCTGTACTCACCCCTACAATTCTCAGCCTCCTGAATAATCACATATGCCTGAACATACATGTGTGTGTTCTTCCTCACTCGGGCGATTGGCGGGGGATGACTACATGTCAATTTTGTCAAAAAAAATAAAAATACACATATATATCTACATGCCAATATGTGCGAGGAAAGAATCGAAGCTCTTCTTTGGCAGCATGGCGAAACGACGATTTTTCGCCAATACGCTCGATGGAAATTCCCACCATAGTGTAAAAAAATAAGGGCGTCTTTATATGCCTACATATAATATATTACATTTTTCCCCCCCTCCCTTTGGCTCGATAAGTTTTGCCTACAAACCCGGCCCTTCTGGCAGCTTCCCCCTTTCGCAGTACGCCCCCTTGCGTTTAACTCCCCTCCGAAGTTTATTCCCACCGCGTAGCTATTTTTACCTCCATTTGGATTGTTTCACATGTGTAGGAAAAAAAAAGAGAGCGCCAAAGGAACACATGGACATTTTACCAAAACGGTTTATACTGGAAAAAAAAGGGGAGCGTTTTCCTTCGTCTGCTCCACTTTTACTGCAGGTGTAGATCTCCTCGGCTGCCTTTTCTTTTTTTTTTCTTTCTCCACAACACCAATGCAGGTGCTCTGCGTCTTTACTTTTTACTTCTTCCCCGTTTTGTGTACTTGGCCATATCGGCGCTCTTCGGTCACAACATGTTTTCCGTATTTCCATGTTGGGGAGAATCCTTGCCTTGGTCACTTCCTCAGCGCTCAGTTTCCCACCCCCGCTTTCTGCTGACGAGAAGGAACACTCCGTTCCTGTTAATACGACATGCATTCCCCAAATTAAGAAGACAAATGGATAACCCCCTTAAGGAGCTCCGTTCCGACGAAAGGAAGAAGAGGATCCAAATGTGCCCCAAATGTATGCACCTTTTTTCGATCCGCTGGCTTCCTTTTTTTAAATTCAACACGTTGATCGCATTTTCCTTGCTATTTTCCTTGTTCCTTTCGGCCTTTCCCTTGGACGCCTGATAAATGTGCGTGGGTGAGTAGATACATTTCGGGAGGAGGCCCGCTCATTGATTACCCTTTGTTGATTAGCCCTCCTCGAAGTTCTCACCCGCGTAGGAAGATCATCTCCCACATGTACTGGCAAAGCTCAGTGAAAATCTTCTGTGCTTCTCTGTATTGTCGGCCGTTTGAAGATCCACGCGAGCGTCGCATTTTTGGAGCGCACTTCGAACACGTCTCGTGAGGAGCCCCCTTTGGCGCGACCGCCTCTCCTTTTTAAGCGCCCCCCTGTGCGTGACTTAGCCGTTCCGCGTTACACATTTGGCTTCTCCTCAGAGGGAAGACGCGCTCCGCAAGAGGGCACCCACCGTCCCGTCGCAGTCCCTATCGCGGTCCTATCGAAGTCCATATCGCGGTTCCTATAGTAGTCCCACCGCAATCCCACCGCAGTCGCTATTGCCACTTATTGAACCAACTGGGAACAACCGAATCCCTGCGTGGCTTCCAACCTGTGGGTGCCCTTCGAGGCGACGCCGTTTTGAGAGCACCTGGCCACAAATGGAGGACCAGGGGAACGTCAAGGGGGGATGCCCCCAGGGGGACAGCGATGATCCGAAGCATTCCCCGCAGCGTGATTTGCAGCATGACCAGCGAGATGACCCCGACGGGGGAGACCGCCGCGGGGAGCGAAAACTGAAGCTTCTAATCGAAGGAAAAATGGTGGAGACGAAAAACGCAGTGGATTTTATAAAGCCTCTGAAGGATGACATCAAAGCATTGGACTTCCTGCTCTTCGACATGCTGAAGGATAACCTCCCAAATAAGTTATTTGAGACGTTATGTACGATTCACGACATGTCAGAAAAGTACAGTGAAAATCAAACGCAGGAAAATTTTAACTCCTTAAAAGACTCCATTTACAATTTAGATGATGAATACCTCGGCACCATTGTGAATGCATTTGGCCACATGTGTATTTTGTCCAATTTTGCAGAATGGGCTCATAGAGGAAGGAGGAGAAAGGCCTTCGATATGTCCTTCACTCCGAACGAAAGAATATACGGATCAGTGTATGAGACGCTAAAGGGAACATTCGACATGCTGATAAAGAGCGGTTTTGACATCAGCCAAATTTATGAGCAACTGTGTAATCAGACAATAGACTTCGTATTGACGACCCATCCAACACAAGCCATTCGGACGTCCCTCCTGAAAAACTACATACAGCTAGCCGAATTGTTATTAAAGCTGGACAATACAGATAAAGAATTGTACAAGAAAAAAATCCTGTATGATAACTTGAAAACGTATTTGCTAACCGCATGGAAGACAGATGTCATCCGAAGGATTAAACCTACCCCCATCGATGAAGCCATTTCTCTAGTCGACATAGTGGAGAATTGCATCTTCTACCGCATCCCAAACATTATCAGATACATAGATAACGTTTTTTACGAGTATAATTTACCTCCAGTTAAGTTAGAGTCAAAAATTTGTCTCTTCTCTTCATGGGCAGGAGGAGACCGAGATGGGAATCCATTCGTTCTCCCCGAAACGACGAGGTACGTTTGTTATATGAACAAGATAAGGGGCTGTGAGCTATTCATTCCGATGGTGGAAAAGTTGATTAGAGATTTGACTCTACACCATTGCACTCAACATTTTAAGACGTATGTGAAGCACCTCGAAGATGAGGTCTCTCAATACATTTTTGACCAAGATAGGAAATACCTGGCGCAGAAGTTCCACTGGTTTTCTCCATTTTCGAAATCTAACAAAAGCGAAATATATAGGAGAGCCCTTCTAGTTGTCTGGGCTAAGCTAAAGAGTACCGTCCAAGTGTATAAGTCTCTCATTTCGCACCAACCTGTGGATACCAATTTCGAAAGGCTAATGTTTAACTGCTCAGAAGAATTTGAGGAGATCCTTATGGAATGTTATAGAAGTCTGTCCGATTCTGGAAATGCTCTCATTGCTGAGGGGTACCTAAAAGATGTCATTCGAAATGTCAAGATATTTGGTCTGCACTTGATGAAGCTGGACATTAGACAAGAATCGGAGAAGCACATTCAGGCCATGGATTACATCTGTGAGAAGCTACAAAGTGGGAAGTACTCCCTCCTATCTGAGGAGGAAAAAATCGACTTCCTTACAGATATTCTCCAATCCAGCAGACCATTAATACCGAACAATATAGAGCAGGAACAAGACGTTCCTAGTGATTTCCTAAACGTGATAAAAACGTTTGATGTGTGTTCTCAAATTGAGGAGAGTGCACTAGGAGCATACATTGTCTCCATGTGTAATCACGCATCGGACATCTTACTAGTGGAGGTATTTCAGAAGGAGCTGAAAAAAAATGCACAGAGAAAAACACAGAGGGTTGTCCCCCTCTTAGAAACGATACAGTCTCTCCAGATGTCTTGCACCATTTTGGAAAACTTAATTAAGAACCCATGGTATAGAACCCATTTGAGAACCCACTTTGATAACAAGCAAGAAATTATGATTGGCTACTCCGATTCGGGCAAAGATGGAGGCAGATTCACCTCTGCCTGGGAGTTATTCAAAGCACAGGAGAAACTCGTACACATAGGAAAGAAGTACTCTGTGGAGGTCCGCTTCTTCCATGGCAGAGGTGGTAGCGTCAGCAGGGGAGGAGGACCACAGCATTTAGCCATCCTCTCTCAACCAATCAATACGATAAAGAACTACCTTAGGGTGACCATACAGGGGGAAGTCATCACGCAGGATTTCTGCCTAAAGGGAATGATGCTACGATCGATAGAGACGTATATGAGCGCACTCCTCAAATGCTCCCTCTTAAAAAACACAGTCATGGTGAAAGACGAATGGAGAGAGCTGATGGACGAAATGAGCCAACTGACAACAAAAGAGTACAGACACGTCGTCTACGAAAATAACGATTTTGTGAATTACTTCAGATGTGCAACTCCGCAGATCGAAATAGGGAAGCTCAATTTGGGATCAAGACCATCCAAGAGAAAACAAGGAAATGTAGAATCGCTTAGAGCAATCCCTTGGGTCTTCTCCTGGACACAGAACCGAATACACCTTCCCGTTTGGCTTGGCATAGAAAAGCTGTATGATCACCTCATAGCAAAGGGAAAATTAGGCCTCTTGCAGGATATGTACCGAAACTGGCCTTTCTGCACCAGCTTCTTCAACCTAATCAGCATGGTTATGGCCAAAGCGAGCTTGCAAATAGCTGAAGAGTATGACATTCTGGTCCCCGACGAGCTAAAATACATTGGAACCATGCTGAGGGAGAAATTGAAGAAGGCCATGGAACTGACTGCTCTCGTTACCAACGAGAAGAGCTTCTGTGACAACGACATACTGACGAAGCGCTCCATCGAGAGCAGGACCAAATGGGTCGCCGTCTGCAACTTGATTCAGATTCAGGCGCTTAAGCGACTGCGGGAGAGGCATCGCGAGTGGGAGCTATCACATGAAACAGATCGATCTAAGAAGAATAGCGATACCCCAACCGGAGAGGAACCAATGCCTAGCCGAAGCGCTCACCCGATGAAGGGGCACGAAAGTGAGGCAGACAACAAGTTAACCAATTCAGCGTCGAAGGATGAGCTGGATAGCCAATATGAAAGTCCCATCAGAGGGAGCAGCAGCAAGCGCATCTACTCCTACTTGAGCAGGAAAAAAAGCAAATTAATTAAAAACCCAAAGTTCCATCCCCTTCTCGAGTCATACTCCTCCGCCTACCTACAAAGTGAGGGAGAAAATGACTTTTTTTTTGACGATTTACCGGATATGGGTCTGTCCCGTGGGAGGAGTGCATACAAAACGAACGATTGCACGTATGACGAGGTGACGAAGACCTACATTGATTACACCTCCCTGAATGATGCCCTCATAGTGTCCATCAAGGCGATAGCCGCGGGGATGCAGAACACGGGCTAGTGTCAGAAGCTTTCGCCGCCCCCTTCTCTCCCAGGAAGACAATCCCACGTGGACCTCCCGCACCGGTTGGTTTACACACTGCATAGAAGTACTTCGTTTGGCCTACCCCAACGTCGCTTTTATTTTATGCGTGCTTCCCCCAATTGTACATCCGTGATACGTGAAAGTTCGCAACGAGGAACACTCTTTTCTGGGGCTAACCCGTTCGGAAACGCGTCAACCGTGGAAAGCCTTTTTTTTTGCATCGCGGAGAAGTGCGCTATACGCCCTTTCTGTTATATGCAGCCCCACGTACATAGGGCTGCGTGTCGAAAAGGTTGCAATGGGATTGCAAGAGTGACGCGGCGTTTCCGTTTGCGATGGCCTTCATCTCAAAAAAAAAAAAAAAACGGGTCCCCCAAAAGTTGCCTAAAAGTCTAGCCATTTCGATTATCCGCGTAGAAGTCGTTATGGCCTCCATAACAGGGGAAGGAAAAAAAAAATTAGTCAACTGTGCCGTAACGCATAATGCATTCACCATACACGTATAATGATGCCCATGCCGGTCGGATATACCTATACATAATATAGTCGGGTTGGTTGCCTCCATCCCCCAGCAGTTTTCAAAGAACACTTCAAAAGAGCGCTTCAGAAGATGGCACTGAAATGATGAACCTAGAGAAGGATAAAAAGGTGCTTAAGGACAAGTTACGAGAAGAGCTGCAAAGACTGAAGGGGTACTCCATAATCCAGCTGGTACTATCCTCCCTCCTCCAATCGGAGAAAGAGACAAACGGAGGTGTGAAAAAAAAAGGAATTCTATACAGCCAAATAGAATCAAAATATGTAGGAAAAATAGTGTATGATACATTTTGTCACTCCAGGGGGGCAAGGAGGTATGGTGAACGTAACCCCTTCCCACTCTGTTGTGTTAAAAGAAGAGTACACATTGGGAAGGGAAGCAAACAACTCGTCGTCAGCTGGACTGATAGGAGCATCCCCTCCGAAACGGCATTCCAACTGATTAGCAGAGAGAAAGACTTTTTTATTTTCCTAAAAATTACGCATTATGTGAAGAAAGAACCACTGAGGAGGGCAGCAGAGGGGTCACTCTCGCCCCTCATAGTGTTTCTCTACGATGTGGCGGCAGCAGAGAGGGGTGGCACAGACGAAAGAGAGAAGGAAAGGATCAGCGGAGGGTGCACCGATGGGCCTCTCACCGATGTGGGGTCCACAAATGGGGGGAATTCTTCCCTCGCTCAGTTGGCCAACGTGCAGGGGGGAGCCACATGCTGCGAAACAGGAATAGGAGGAGCGGCAAAGTCGAAAAGGGAACCACCCCAAAAAGGGGACTACAAAAAGTTCGTCGATCGATACCTGTTGTTAGTTCACTACAGGAGCCATCGAAAGGTGACTCTTTCGCAATTTTTGAACTCTCTAGTCAGTGCATCACTTAACCATTCGCAGATTGGTTTTGATTCGAATTCCACTGCTATGGAAGAGCAGCACAGGGGTCAGGATGAGCGGGGAGAGGGCTCCATTTTGGTCACTCCCCATGGAAGGAGCAGCAAAAGAAGAGAGACAAAAGGCATAAGTGGAAATTCCCACCCCGGTAGAAGACTCAATACCGTTGATTTGCAGAACGATGTAACGGGTAAGGTGTCCCACTCCAAAAGGGACTTCCCTCCGGAAAAGATACATGATCATCCCGAGGGATACAGCGATGGTGATATTCGTAATGAGAGGGATGAGGTCAACTCATGGGTTATGCCTCTCCTATCCGGAAGGCAAACAAGATGGCTCAAATTTTGTCGCCAAAAAAAATACACGTTCCACCATCGCCCCCCCCAAAAAGGAACCAACTCATCAGAACAAATCTGCCACTTGTTAACGGTACCAAATTGCCGCATATACATTTATACATCCAAAATGGAAAAGGGAAAGCATATCTTTTTAACCTTCCACAAAATGAGTAAGTGCTTCTTTATTTTTGCTTCTCCCATTTTGGGGGTCCTTAACGGAGACCACTTGCAATTTGTCTGTCTGTCGAGTGGCTATCGCAAGTGCAATACGCGAACTTCATGCGGTCGGGACAAGGAAGGGGCTACCCCCCCCCAAGTGATTACCCCCTTCTTGGAGGAACTGTCCCTTTCGATTGGAGCTATGTATAACAAGAAGAAAAAGTCAATTAGGAAGCTCCAAAAATATCTGGCGAACAGGACTCTCAAGGGGTACATAAATTTCCATCGCTTTGGTAAAGAAGTCCAGAAGGAACAACAAATTTACTCCTACACGTTTTACGACATTGGGGATAATTTTTTCCTAACAAAGGGAGAGCACTCCCCAGAAGAGCTCTCAGGAGGTCCCCAAAGAAGGCGCCCAAAGAACCCCACACAGGGCATTCCCAACCTGCTTCAAAAAATAGGGCCCATTCTAACCCAGTGCAGCCACTTTAACCCCAAAGTGGATATCCATTTTGCTCAAAGGAGACTCGAGAAGGTATGCGCAAATGTGACTGATGTGTTAAACTGGTGTAGACAATTTAGGACGTCCATAAGGTGGACGAAAAGGAGAGAGTGCATATGTGTATACTTCCTTAGGAAGGATTTCCCATCGGTAATTAGCACCAAATGGAATGGTACAAATGGTCCACTAGTGGAATGCCCAACTGGGTTTACTCAGCCCTCCCCCTGGAATAGCAATGATAAAAATAGAGGAACGAAGAGCCCAGAGAGGAATACTTTTCAATCCGTTCAGTCACTTTGTCCCTTCCAAATTTTATCCACCAGAGGAAGAATCTTCAAAATGATCAGGAGAGTATGCCTCCTTTTGTTTAGCCTTACTCATAAAATGGAGAAGCTTGCCAATTTGGATCTCCTCCATATGTTAAGACACGTTCACCACGTGGTTGTAGCTTTTCCCTACCTTTACGTTTGTTACGCGCAGGAGGGGGGCTGCACCCGTGGGGATATCTCCACTCAGGAGAAGCGCCATGGTCTTGGTCAACTTTCCCTTGCGCACCTCCCTCCACACATGGAAGGGCTGCAACGATTAAGAAGGAGAAGGAAGAAAGCCATACGGAGGATCTTGCTGAAGGAGGGAGAATTCCTCTTCCTCCTAAAAATGCATAAAGTGCTTCTATATTTTTACCTGTACGTGACTGGAAAGTTGTGCCGAACGTGGCTCAACAGTGTCAGAGGGAGAAGGGGGGCGCCCAAAGAGGGGAGAAAGACGGCATGGGAAGAAGCGACGTGCAAAGAAGTGACCCCCCCCGAAGCGCTGCCTCCGAGCCGGTTCGACGAACTTATCAAACAAATTAAAAGAGAAAAGTGGAAGAAAAAAATTTATCTGCATGTTCGAAACTGCATGGGGGTCCTCAAGCGCGACAAAAAGGGTGCTCATACGGGTGAAGAAATGAATAACAAAGCGCACACCTTGGAAGGAGGAGCGCGAGGGACAAAAGGAAGGCTCATCAGTTCGTTTATTTTGAGGCCCGTGTGCATGAATGGGAATTTCTCGGGGGGCACAGAAGCCACTCCTGAGGGGGTTCGAGACAGGGGAGTGGACTACGAGGAGGTTCTTTCTGCTGGCAGAGCGACAGATACTAACGCGGCTAACGCTGCTAACACTGCCAATGATGTCAACGCTGCCAACGCTTCCAACGCTTCCAACCATGCCAACTCACGTACGGAGCAACGCAGCGAAGGGGCACACGCAGAAAAAGACGATTACGCCAACTTCTTCAAACTGCGAAACATGAAAAAGACGGCCCGCATATTGGGCCCAGCGCTGATGGATAGAATGGCTGACAGACTCTACGTCGGAAGGAAGGCCCTTTTGAATGTGAACGCACACAGGGAAGAACTACTGGGAATAGTGAGCCAATTCGAGGAGGACGCAAAGGGGGTTCTCTGTGCTGTAAGGGAAGCATCCTCTCACCGGGGAGGCATAATAACTACCAGTCAGCATGATCTGGATGACCCACCACGCAGCCTCAACGGAGAGGAAGTGCAAAGATTGTTACACCATATATGCAAGAAGAAGCGTGTTAATAAAAATTTCTCTATTTTTAACATCCCCAGTGGGTGTACAGGAAGGGGAAGGCTGCGCCATGTTAGTGGGGTCAAGGTGAATAACAAGGTGGTGAGAAGTTTCTTCCGACTGGAGAAGTCCCCACGTGAGAAACGACCCCTTGAGGAGTCACTTCGACGGGGGAGTCATAGCCGTACCCACAAAGTTTCCCTGAAATATCTGGTCCATTTGGTGAATGGACACATAACCTTTGCCGTGAATATTTTTTCGAAGGATCATCAAAAATGGGCCCACTCAAGAAGTCGGGTGTACTTTCTCAACGTGTGCAAAAATGATGTAATTAAAAATATGTTAATAGAAAGGACAATTCACTTTTTGGAGGATCTCCTAACCTATGTGCAGGAAAATCTCCCCTTCCTGGAGAGCGAAAAAAAGACGCGTGTCCCCAAAGGCCACCACATCTCCTACAATTTGTGCAAAATATTTTGTTACGAATTAAAGCAAGGTAAATGTGAGATGAAAAAAATATACAAGGTGCAACCCGGGGGGGAATTTTACGTACACCTTTTTACCTTAACAAGTCAGGCGACTCTCTTTCTTTATTCCACCGGGGGGGGAGGCGGCTTCTGTAACCCTTTTTTTGTGAAGTTTTTTGAGCGGAATAAATTCTACGACGCCTTTGTGGAAAGTGCAAATCGAGTAATCTGAGAACAAGTGGGGGGCTTGCACAAAGAAAGAAGTGAAGAAAACCCGCGAAGTGGTGAATGCCACGGGGGGCGATGAACACCTTGCGGGAAAACATTCTGACCGGGTCATAATTTTTCAAAAAAAAAAAAAAAAACAGCCATTTGTTATTACTCTTTTTTTTCATCACCACTGTTACGGTTACTATTATATTATGTTTTACTTTTATTATTTTTTTTTTTCCGTTTGGCTACCTCCTTTACCGCTCACTGTGCTGAAGCCCACATACAACATTTGCAACGGTCCCAGTTTGCAGCTCATCGGGCGAGATCGAGGAGACCCAGGTTTCCGTGTGTGTGGGGTATGCGGCGCCACAACATCAGAACAGGAAAAAGTGAGCAAAACGTTCTGCGGGCGATGGAAAAAGAAAAAAGGGAAAAAACGTCCATACGTTTTGTATGCTTGTATGCATATGAGAAAGCAAATGCATATTGCTATTTTCCTTACCTTTACGTAAATTCGCGAATGTAGAACTGTGAAGCCCTTTCGCAATTTTTTTCAACCTCATAAATTGTTTCCCACCAGATCGTAGTTAAGATAGTTTTCTTTTTTTTTCTTTTGTCATTTTTTGGGAAGCCTCGCAGTAGCTACCACTCGGTTGACACGTATGTGTAACTGGGGAGGTAAAAAAAAAAAAAACTGACCCATTTTTTCCTTTACCCCCTGACGCTTCCTTTGCTGAAATAAGTGTACCTACATGCGCCTGCGTGGGGGGATACCCAAGCGGGCGCGCTTGGTCCAGACGCGGAAGAGTAGGCCCAAAAGTAGGGTCAAACACACGTATTCACGGCGCGAACAACGTACAACATAACACTCTTCAGTGGAGAAAATTTAACGGATGCCATAGACAAGGAAAGTTGAAGTAAACTTAAGGCCGAAGGTTTCCCCTCAAAAAAAAAAGGAGGCCCCCCGAAAGAGGAAAGGCATAACTTGCAAGTGTATATGCTCGTGGAAGACGCAACATCCGCACGCAAGCAGATAGTACACATCAACACGAGCGACATAGAAGGTGGGCGAAAGCGCGTAGGAAAGATAAAAAGAGCACGCGACGGGGAAAAGGAAAGACAGGTGCCAAGCGATAGGGGGAGAGACACGCAACAGCAAAATAGGAAGCAAAATTGAAAGCGAACGCAAAAGGAATATTTGAAGCAGACGAGAAAGAAAGAATCGCCCACCACGCGGCTCACCTCTGAGGGAGGAAGAGGGCCCTACCGCTGTAAGCACAGTTAGGGAGCTTCACCCCAAGATGGAGGTCTCGATGGAGAACCCCCCCAAGAGGGAAGCCTCCATGAGGAGCCGCCCCACCAAGGAGCTCCACGGCCCGTACGACAAAATAAAGTACGAGTTCTCCGACGTGAAGTACACAGTAGATCATGGGAAGCTGGAAATTCTACACGGAATAAAAGGCATCCTCCTTCCCCAGACCATAACAGTGATCATGGGCCCCAGTGGAAGCGGGAAGACAACTCTGCTGAACATTCTGTCCATGAAAGTGACAGACGGTGTGGAAGGAAATTTCCTCATTAACAATACGAATAGGAGCAAAAATATAAAGAGTTACATGGGATACGTTCTCCAGGATGATTATTTCTTCTCCCGAATGACTGTATACGAAACGATAGAGTTTACTGCCAAGCTGAAATTAGACATTAGGGACAAAAACAAGTTACGCGAATTGGTTCATTCCGTGTTGGAGATAATGAGTCTAACCCATGTGAAGGATACCATCGTGGGGGATGCCTTTGTAAGGGGAATAAGTGGAGGACAAAGAAAAAGACTATCCATTGCAAATGAAATTTTGTCAAACCCACCTTTACTCCTCATGGATGAGCCGACAAGTGGATTAGACTCCTCATCCGCCTTATCCCTAGTAGAGTGCATTCAGAGAATAGCTACCATCTCGAATACCACCATCATATCGTCTCTTCATCAGCCAAGCAGCCAAGTGTTCGGAAAGTTTGACAGACTTATAGCAATAACAAATGGGTACATAATATATCATGGGAAGACAACCGACCTGAATAAGTATTTAAAAAAAGTTGGGTTCATTTGTCCGTACGGGTGGAATGTGGCAGATTACCTCATGGATGTCCTCTGCAACGTAAATTTCGAATCCATCCTGCTGGAGAATTACAATAAGTATCTTCGCTATGATAAAGAGATAGGTTATTATATGGATATCGACTCTATTGATAATAAAGTGATTCATGACGACTACGATTCGTTGTTGGCCAAGGAGGGAAATGAGACTAAAGGGGCACATAGGACGGAGAAGTCGTCACCACAAAGTAGTGATAAATCCCCAATTGGGGTACGGAAAAAATCTTCAAACGTTTCCATAAAAGAAATAAACAATGCAAGGGAACAAGATCTGAAGAAGCTAAAGGCCGTCGAGGTGTTAATCTCTTTGCAAGAAAAAAAGACACCATATATTAGACAGAACTTTTTTCTCCTCACAAGAGGATTGAAAAAAATAATAATCGATGAGATCACGATCGTGAAGGTGATAGACTTGGTTGTCATTCTAACCTTGTTTGCCTTCCTCTGGTTAAAAACGTTTAAGGAGGACACGGAAGACGGGATCATTGATACCATTGGGGCGATTTTCTTTATTCTATCCTACTGGACTTTTTACCCTGCCTACTTATCATTGTATTCCTTCCCCTCAGAGAGGGAAGTCATAGCAAAGGAGAGAAACATGAAGACATTCCAAGTGAGTAACTACTTTTTTTCCAAACTCCTTTCAGAGTTTATCTTTTTCTTAACCTTAATTGCCTTCTGGGTTCTAATCACACATCTGATTCTGTATGGGACGCTTAAATTTGGAGTCTACGTTAGTTACGTCTTCATCACTTTGTTAAATGCTCTGATTAGTAGCTCCCTGGGATATTTCATATCGACTCTGTTTGATAACTTCAGCAAGGCTGTTAGTTTCCTTTCTGTCGTTTTGCTGACCATGACGCTGACAAATGGGTTCTATGTCGAGATAGCCAAATTGCAAGTACCTTTTAGATACCTCCAATGGTTGTCTTACCAAACATACTCTGCCTCAGTGCTAGCCAAAATAAAGTTCGATGACGCGCTTATCAAGTGCTCTGCGGAGAACCTCTCCTCTGTGTGCCAAAGCGAGGGCTCCTTCCCTGGCAAGGTCATAATAGACAAGCGGTTTGCCAAACTGCACATTTCCCACTCCGTCTTTATCCTCGTCAGCTTCTACGTCGTGATCAAGGCGGCGACGTACGTCTCCCTGCGCTGGTCCCACGCGCTCAGGATGAAGTGATGCGTCTATCGAGGGGGATACCCAAGCGGGTGATCTTCTTTGGACAAGGCGAAAATGGCGCGTCGTTATTTTTTCTCCCTTTTTCAAGGCGCCGTTCGGCGACGTGGCCCGGCGTTGCTGCGTACTTCTCCTGTGTGATTGCGCCGCCTCGCCCTACTGGGTTTATTTCCCCTTTTTTGTATGCTAGGGGGGGCTCTTGTGCACCCCCTACCTATGTGTTATCCCCACTTCGCGAATCCTCCTACGGAGGTGTAGCGTGCCTCCATTTTTTCTCTCCCCCCCCCATGTCCTTTCGGGAACTCAGATAACTGAATCGCCACGGCGTTTGTAAGAAGACACCCATTGTGCGAACTTGCCTTAAGAGGGAATGACACGCATAGAATAGACATGTGATGCTTCCCCCCCGATTGGGAGTTTCCCCTCTTTTCACTTAAGAAGGAAGTGCAAACGCAGTGAGACGTGCTTCCTGAGTATCCTCAAAAGAAGAAACCCGCACGGGGAAAAAAGTGCACACAAGCGCGTTGGCACAGGGGGTAGTGGAAAAGGCTCCTTTTTTTCTCATCCCCACTAACCGGTCAGAAGGATCCCCATTTTTTTGCAAAGACGGGACAAACATCGGGAAGTGGTAACAGTCTCGCTTTGTCCGAGCTCCGTGGGTATTCTTTTCTCCCTCCTTTTCGCCTGTTTTTTCCCCCTCTTTTTCGCCTGTTTTTGCCCCCTCCTTTTCTCTCTCCTTTTCTCGCTACTTTCCTCCGCACACATGTCCCAAATCGTGTACCTGGACGAAGAGAAAACGCGGGGGAGGTATACCTACCCGAATGGGAACGTCTACATGGGCGAGTTTAAGAATGACAAGTTTCACGGGCAAGGTGGGTCAGGAGAGGGCTGTTGGGGGTTTCACGTGGCTCTTCAAAGGAAAACATAAAAAAAAAGTGGTCAACTTCGACATGGTTCATTTATAAGTGTCCTTCCATTTTTCTCCCCCCGAAACCGTATCCCTTTCCCATTTCCCACCCTTCCCATGGAGATAGGTACTCTAGCTTTTAAACACAAGGGAGAGTACAAAGGAACCTGGGAAAACGGCAAACTTGTCCGGGGGCAGTACTACTACAGTGACGGATTGGAGTATCAGGAGAAGTGGAAATACCTCGTGGAGTCTCCCTATTTCTTTAAAGAAGAGATTAATAAGGACGAGATTATTTTCAAAGAAGAGAAAACGAATGCCTTCCTGCATGATATTTACGACATAGGTACGAGGGTTTCCCCTTTTGAGGCACATCGGTTGGGTGTGCGTGTCCGTATGTGTTGATGCGTCCATTGGATCTCCCCGCATTTGTGTGCATTTTTTTTTTTTTTTTTTTCTCCATCCATTCGTCGATGTGTGCATGAAAGGAAGCTTTCCGTGTGCGTTTTTTTTTTTCTTTTTTTCTCCAGCCATGCGAGGAAGTGTGTGCACACGCAGGCGTACGTATAGGTATATGTAGCCACATGTAGGTACACGTACTTATACCCATCTCGCTGCCTCTTTGTTTGTTTTTTTTCTTTCCCCCCTCGTTCTCCTCCCCCTAGGCGACGGGTACTGCAAAGTTAAGGAGAGTCTCGTGTACAGGTTTGCAGATGATAAGCCAATCAGGCAGGTGAACGAGAGAGAGAAGAGCTGGATAGAGAACCACTGCTCCAAGTGTTAGCAACGGGAGGGGATGCAGATATAGGGAAGAGCAACCCCCCCTTTTTTTTTCCCCGTTCCGCGACATCATCACGACTAACCCCACCGTGGGCACACTTCATCTGAGTTGAATCTCCCCTCCTACCGCTTCGCTTCCCGCTGACATGATTGACTACTACCATTGCTACACGAAAAAACGGAGCGACGTCTGGGAGCCATGCGGGTTCACCAAATCGAAGAGTCAAGTGGTGGGCCGAATAGAACCAAAAGAAGACTTGCAAAAAAAGTATATGCTGAAGGAGAACCTATATTATAGCGATGAGAATGTGAAAAAACGAAGCGAGTGTTACGTAAACATAGAAAGCGTTAAGCTAGAGAACAAATTCTTTTACCACAACGAAGGGGGATGGACCAAAGACATAGATATCACTGATCAGCAAAATAAAATCAAATATGTGAAGAGGCTAGACAAAGATATAAACACAATTAACAGCGTAAAAATCCTCATGAATGAGACGACCAGAATTATTAACAAAAATAATAGCATAGGTATTTATAAAGAATATTTCCAAGATGAGGAAGAAAGTAAGGAGGAGTTCAGAATAAAATCCATGCTAGTGATAAAAGACAAGATTAGGAACTACTCTAGGTATGTCACTTGCATCAAGTGGTCAACCGATAGTAGTCACAGGTTGGCCATCTCCTACTGTGTTAATAATCATAAACAGATTTTAAGTGACTCTCCAAAAAATTGTCTCCTATACAATCTAAACGAAATTAATAGTCCGTATCAAATTTTATTCTCCAAGACGTTCATAAAATGTCTGCGATTTAATCACAAAAATTCGGATCTGCTTTTGGCTGGTTCTTATGACGGGACAGTGAATCTGTGGGATTTACGGAAGAAGAATACCGTATGTGAGTCCTCTTCCAATCATGCTAGTCACAAGAATATCGTGCAAGATGTTATTTGGCTGCAGACCAAGACGAACAATCACTGCTTGTCCGTATCGAATGATGGGGTGTGCTTACTGTGGGACATACGCAATTTTAGTGACCACATTGAGTCCTTTTCCTTACACAAGGACAGCGGGGAGGTTTGCCACCTCGTGGAGACATCCAACTTGGACACATCTGCGCTGAACAACTCTCAGGGGGGCGTGGACATCAGCCAATTCGTTACTTACCCCGCGCAGATTACTGGGACGGTTGCGACTGGGGCAGCTGCAAGTGGGACAGCGGCAGCTGGGGGGACTAATCAAGCGATCCCCTCAACCAACACGGGGAACAGCGGCGTGGCCCCGCCCTCCGCCAACCTCTGCTACAGCGCCAACTGCCTAGAATGGAACTTGGAGGCCGGTCCCTCCAAAATACTCGTCGGCACAGACGAAGGATACGTCCTCTCCCTCTCTAAGAGACAAGCCAAAAATCTGGAGATGCTCCAAAAGTATGGAGCGTCAAACGAGAAACATCTCTCTAGCATAACCAGCATCAAACGCATTCCAATCAATTTGAAGTATTTCCTATCAACAGACAAGTGGGGTTTTAACATATGGTCTGAAGACATTAAATTTCCCATCATTTCAAATTACTACGACGAGTGTGTCATTAATAAAGGGCTGTGGATTAGCGACTCTTCCTTCTTCATCCTGGCAAGGAAGGATGGCTACCTTGACTTCTGGAACCTACTCTACAATTTCAATGAACCCATTATTCAGCAGAAAATATGTAATTCCTCCATCACAGAAATGGATGCACATCTAAATAATAAATACATTTCGGTCGGGAATGACCAGGGGGATATTCACATTCTAAAGTTGGGATGCAGCTTCTGTAGGAACACCAGTGAGGAGAAGAATGCGCTGGATGAGCTGTTTGAGAGGGAATCCAAGAGGGAAAAGAATTTGGAATACATCCGGAAGCAGCTCAATTGTTTACGAAAGAAACGAGAGTGCCTCAACATGCAGGATGTGCACATATCGGAGGACGTGGTACAGGAGACGCAACGCGAGTACGAGTCTGTTTTGTGAGGAGGGGGTTCCCAACGAAGAGTGTCATTGGGGGAAAGAAGGGGAAAAAAAAGGGGGAAAACAGGCTTCCCTTTTTTTATCACCCCTGGATTGTTCTTATCAGGGGAGGCTACACATATTATCCTCCCCAAGTTGCCGGCACCTCAACTGGCAGCGCCCCCACTTAGGGTTTTGTGGCCGATCCCCCTTGAGGGTGGGTGCCCTGCGGCAGAACTGTGTGAGTGTATTAATGCATATCTACCTACGTGTGGTTGCACCCTTGCTTGTTTCCGCTTGCTTCTGCTTTCTTGTGTCCAATTACACGCCTGATCCACGCTGCCAATAGAAAAACTTCAAAAGGGTTTTGCGCAACCCAAAACAGGTTCAATCGAGAGCAAATGGATTATATATACAACTGCCCCTTTCTGTAGGTGTGCGTGCACGCGCACATGAAAAGAGTGTTCCTTACGTATACGCCAGAAAAGATAAAAAAAAAAAAAGGTTAATGTAGCATATCCAGGTGCCTGTGCCCCCCCTTTTATTTGCATACCCCCCTGCCAATTGAGGAAAAAAAAAAAAAAAAAAAACTGGGCCGTATCACGTTCCACATGACCGTCATGACTTCGGCACAAATGAGGGCTGGAAAGGGAAAAAAAAAAAAAAAGATGATAGGATAAATAGGTAAATAAATAGAGGGATAAAAAAATAGATACATAATAAATGTACGTGTATAGGCAAACAATGTAGTAAGAAAGCGAAGGGAACAATTACGAAGGCAGGCGCAGAAGAGGAGCCACTTTTTTTGCAGAGAAAAAGCAAACACGAACAGAGGCAAAGAAGCAGAGAAGAAAAGGAAAAGAGCATACGAGCAGCAGTCGGGCAAAAGTGAAAATAGGCTAATCGTTTCACATCGAAAAGGAAGAGGTACAACATTTTTGAGCAGCTTCTGCGGCCTCATCTTCCTCGACTCCTTTTTCCTAAACTTTGTGTTTTTTTTTTCTTTTTTCCCTTCTTGTCTCCCCTTTCCTTCACGTTGAACTAAAAGTTCATAAGAGAATGGGAAAAGAACGATAACTCCAATGGGTAGATCCTTTTCGTAGAACATTTTGCCACTCAGCCAAGTCGGTAGCAACAGCTTTGCCCTATTGCACCCCCTTTTTGGCGCCCCATTTTGCGTCCCCCTTTCGATTCCCTTTTTTAGGTAATCCGCCTCCCTTCCTGCCGTACGAGCTGCGAGTTAGCCAACCGCGTGCCAGTCAACACGACAATACGGCAAGCGGCCAACACGCCAGCACAACAAGACGATAATACGCCAACGCGCCATGGCGAACAGGTATAACAAAGTGAACCAGGGCAAGTTCGAAATGAGGGAAGGCGTGTACAACGAAAAGGGAGGCAGGGGAAACAACGGTGATAAGGAACCCCAGGGATTTAGCGCAGAGGAGTTGAAAAACTTTTTCGGCACTTGGGGAAAATTCTGTAAGGAAAAAATAAACGAAGTAGGAGAGAGAAAAAACTTCCTCGTATTTGACAAAGAAAAGCATCTGGACAGCGGAAACAATGAGTACTTTAATTCGTACAACTATATCCATATACATGAGGACATGATAAAGGATGAAGTGAGGACAAGGACTTACTATGATGCCATTAGAAAGAACGAGCATCTGATAAAGGACAAAATTGTATTAGACGTGGGATGCGGAACGGGAATCCTCTCCTTCTTTGCTGCCATGTCGGGGGCAAAGCATGTCTACAGTATCGAAAAGAGTAACATCATCTACACAGCGTTAAGAATCAGAGACGAAAATAAGTTAACGGAGAAAATAACCTTCTTGAAGGGACTGGCTGAGGAAATCGAGCTGCCGGTGGAGAAGGTTGACATAATAATATCAGAGTGGATGGGCTACTGCCTGTTGTACGAAAATATGCTGGACACGGTTCTTTACTGTAGAGACAAATGGCTAAGGGAGGGAGGATTGCTCTTTCCAGATAAGGCATACATGTACATGGCTGGCATTGAAGATAGCCTATATAGGGAAGAGAAATTTGACTTTTGGAGAAATTGCTACGACCTAAATTACACTTCAGTGTTGCCAATATTGAAGGAAGAAGTTGTTATCGATTATGTAGACAAGAATTTCATCGTTACTGATTCGTGTTGCATACTAAAATTGGACTTAAATACATGCACAACGGACGACTTATCCTTTGCTTCCCCCTTTCGATTGAGGATGACCAAACGGGATTATTTGCATGCACTGGTCATATGGTTTGATGTCTCCTTTTCTGCGTGCCACACGGAGATCAGTTTCACCACTGGGCCGTACGGGGGACACACACACTGGAAACAGATCGTGCTCTATACAGACCACGTCCTCACTGTGGAGAAGCACGAGGTCCTGCGCGGAATGTTCGCCCTCAGGAAAAACGCCAAGAATAATAGGCACATCGACATGAAGCTGCACTACGTCTTCGACGGAACCCACACCCGCGCGCGCGCCACGCAGTTCTTCAACATAAGCTGATAAGCTGACGAGCTGACGAGGCAGCTAATCGGTGGAGTAGGTTAAGCGGGTGAAGCGGCGAAGTGGTGACGCGGTGGAAGTTTTACCTTGCCTGTTCATAACATTTGCGCGTTTTCCATGGCTAGCCGGGAAAAAAAAAAGAAAAAAATAGCTAGCCACGGGTGGCTGCTCATGTATTTCTTCCCCTCATTTATGATTTTTGTCCTTTTTTCATATATATATGCCATTTCGAGCGCCTGTTCCTCCTCCCCCACCTTTCTGTTCGCCCCATAACCATCCCGGGCGACATCCCACTTTGTTCTTCACGCAGGTTCACCTCGCATGTCGCAGAGGGCCCTTTCTGTTTCCCCCGTTTGAATTTTTTTTTTTTTTTTTCCAACGATTGACAAGTTGCAAATGACAAGTTGCGAATTCGTCCCTTTGTAGTTACGCCTTTATGTTTTTTCTGTTGATGAATTGGCCATGGTTCGCGCGAGTCCAACGAGCAAGGCAGCCGAAGACAGATGCTAATCTGCACATTGCAAAGTCGTAGAGAACTCCAAAAGGCAATGTACAGTAGAGTTAAACTCCCGCGTCACACACGGCGCGATGCAGCGTAACAGTGTGTGAAACACTCAAGTGAGTTTCCTCCAATCGTGCATTCAGACTGCTCCACCATGGGTAACGCGTGCACGTAGGAAAAGAATGCCACTTTCACACAGACATACACACACTCCCTATTGGCTCCTATCAACGAATATGCGCAATACGATGAACGAGTTAACTGCTGTGCATGGGGAAAAGGACCTTCCCCTTTTTTTTTCATTTTAAAAAGAGCTTATGTCCCCTTTTCTCGTTTGAGTAATGGTTGCCACTCTTAATTCTTCTAGCGGCTCACAGTGGAGGTAATTCCCAGTGAATTCCCTCATTGTGCCAGCTCCTCGGACGGTGCCATCGTGAAAAGTACCCTCTCCGCATAGGTAGGCCAAAGAGCACACATCGGGAGTAGCATATGAGCCCCACTTCAGTGTTGCTTTTGTGGAGAGAACTGACAACATGACAGACAAGGTACACACCGTTAGCTTATACGCGTAATGTTCAGGGACCATGCTCTGTGCCACGACAGGAGGTGGCTTTCCCCTTGGCGCACTACCTTCGCTCTACCTACGTCCTCAAAATCAGTAGTTACTTATTTAGCGGCGCATCGTTCATTTTGTTTTTCCTCCAACATAGTTACCATTTTAAAAGGGTGCACATGATGGCTCCCCAACCTGATGCGTTTAAATAACAAGTGAGATGTGATAACGCGTGAACCCTTTTCCAACGTGAGACGTATGGCCAGTGGGCACCTTTCCCATGCACAGCTTTCGTAAGTAGAAATGCTACACGGAGGAGGGGAAAAAAAACAACGAAAGGAAAAGAAAAAAAAAGCCAAACATGGGTAAAGAAAGAAAAAAAAAACGCACAGTCCAAAAGTGCGCATGCGGAATGGCTCCTCGGTGGACGGAGCACTTGATACAAATCTATGGAGAGACGACGGACGACTGGCCATGCTGGGTGGAAACGCTCATGATGTTTTTGTGTAATCTCAACCAATGTCCCCTCTCATGTGGATGCCATCTTTCCATATGCTCAGTTTTGCTACGTTTTTTTTTTTGAGGTTGCTCTGCACCTGTTGGTAGCGCTCCACTAACAGTTGTTATGAGGCATTCACCGATATTAGCAACAATTGGCTGGTGCAAGCAGTCGTTTACTCGCGTTAGCAGTCATGAATCCTTTTAGCAATCACTTTTGTTTTATTTTTCTCGCCATGCTGCCGTGGTGATGGCCCCGTATTCCTTTCCCCTGCCCGTCGGTTTCTCCCTCCGCCACCCGCCTCACCAAATGGTCATGCATATGTAATGGATACTTTTTATGCACAGCGCGGCACCCGTTCTTTTTTTTCTTTTTCACTGCTGAGGGGGAAGGAAACCCCACCCTCCTGCCTTCTTCACTTGGAAGAGAAGCGGTCGTCCTCTCCCACACAGCATCGCCACGAAGGGGTTCATATATAGGTGTATAAACATCCATGTGCTGTATATGCATTACTTTGCACTGTATGGACCAATTACATGTGCTGCTGTCATTTCATGCGGTTGTCCACGCCACTCCATCCACCCAGGTGCCATTTGACCGGTCGTCGCCACGCATACCTTGTGGCATTTTTTTTTTTTAAACCTTTCGCAATTCACTCGTTTGTCATGTTAAGCGTAAATCCCCTCGGGAAGAGGCATCACGTCCCATTTTACGACAGCGTTTTTTTTTTTTCTTTTCTTTTTTCTCGTTCTCCTTAAATTGAGAAAATTATTTTGCGCGTTCGCATATAATTTTGTACGTTCGTACATGCGCATGTTTGCATACGTGTTTAGCTCGGTCGCCGTTCGGTTTGCCCCCCGGGCGTTGCAAACGACTCCACACTTTTGCTTCTTCGCATCTGTACCACGCAGGTCATCCACACAAGCATAGTCGCCACTGCACGGATTGTTCCGCCGCGTCTCCTCTTCGTCTCCCCTTTTTCGTGTTATTTTTTCTTTTTTTTTCCCCGCCAAGATGGACAAAATATCGCCAGAAATTTTAGCCGCGAGGGCGAAGCTGAAGGAAAAGATGGGAGGCAACCTGAGACAAATCGGTGGCAAGGGAAGTGCGAGAAGGAAAATTAAAAAGGTCCATAAAAACTCCATGTCCAATGAGAAGAAAATCAATTTGATATTAAAAAAAATCGGTGCCTCCTACTTCGGGGAGGTGGATGAGATCTGTGTTTACAAAGCAGGGGATACATATATGGAATTTAAAAAACCAAAACTGTCTGCATCGTTACAATCCAACACCTATGTCGTCACGGGAAAATTCACAGAGCAGAAAATTGATATAAACAAGATATTTGAGGGTCTCAAAGGAAATAAAAATGTCGATATGAATCTTCTGGAGAAGATTAAAAATGACCCAAACATAAAAAACCTCCTTAACAAGGAGAACAACGGGAATGCGAAGAAAGAGGAAGCCGCGGAGGAGCCCGCTGACGTCCCGGATCTCGTAGAGAACTTCGAGGAAGTTTCCAAGGAGGATCAGAAGGAGTAGTGTGGGAAGGCAGTCCAGTTGGTGAGCTGGTCACCGGGATCGCCCGGCTCATCCATTTTATCCTTTTTTTTTTTTACACACCATGCCTACGTCTTCCGTTGGCGCAGTTGCATGTGTACTTCTTTGTGTTTCTATGTGCTTCTATACATTCCCATGTGTTCCCCTCCGTGTGCACAGACACCTATTAGTAGAACTTACCTCAAAAGGGACAGCACCCCACGAGCATAAACGCGTCTTTTTAATTTTTTAATCGAGTGAGCCAACTGAGGAAGTGAGGTCATTGAGCTGCGCAACAAGGGGTTGCAAAAATAAAAAAAAAATGAACAGTACTCTGGCAGGAGTAGTTTCACTGCTTAGAGGCAAATCCGAATTTGATTAAGGTGGGGCTACACCTTAAAAAGGAAACATACACAAATATATGCCCATGCATGTGAACTGTTCCATGCCCCCCACAGCGTTTTTTATTCTTTTTTTTGGGCCCTTTTGCGTACCGCCACGCTCATGAACCTTCACGAATGGCAATTCTGCTCGGAAAGCAAATTTAGCTAGCTGCTATGCTTCTCCATAGTGAGAAAAGAAAAAAGAGTAGGCCTCTTTTTTTTTTAGCGAACGAATAAGTGAGAGCGGCGGAACCAGCGGTGAGCCAACCGACGGGTTATACTACTGCGCATGAGCGAAGCGGCTGGACACATCTCCCCCGTTACATTTCGCATCAACCCGTTTGATGCTCAAATGAAAGAGCACCATCCTTTTTTTGGGTTTCACCCTAGGGAGGCTTCCCAAAAGAAAGGCGCTAGGCCTACAACCCTCCCCTCCCCTCTGTGAGAAAATGTATAAGTGTAATTACTTTGCCCCATTTTGTACAAACATAGTAAGATACCCCATGGCGACATGTTGCCTTTTTTTTTTTGTCCCCCTGCCCCCTGTAGAACTGCGCCCTAAAAGGGTTACAAACGATAGGGAAAAAAAAAAAAAACGAGAAGATCACACTGTAGAACGGGCCTTCTCAACCAATCTCGTATTTTTTGGAAAATCTGGATTTTTCTTTTTTATATTTTTTTTTCCTCACTCAGGTGACGCTTAAATGAGGTAGTCTTTCCCCCGTTGAGTGCACCTCGTAATATTGCGGGGGACCCCTTCTTCCACTTGGTGGCTTTGCGGCCTATTGGTGGTAAGGCAAACCCGGGGAGGAAAAAAAAAAAAAAAAAGTATCGCTCTAGCCCCGTGGCCCATAATGCCCTGGGTGTTACGTAGTGCGCATTTCTTTCTTTTCGAGAGAAACTAGCCTTTTTTGCGCTTCTTTGGGGTATTCGCGTGGCTTGGGTCCTTCGGCTCCCCGCGCTATGCCCCTGACTCATATGCTTATGCAAAAATGCAAGGGACTCAGCATGGAAACTCTTCCGCCCCAGGCGTTTCGCATTGCATGTTTCGCGCAACTGTTTTTTTTTTGCCACGCACAAAAAGGATACCGTTGAGTATTTTACCATTTTGTTATTTTTTCTTTTTCTTTTTTTTTACTTGTTTTTTTTTCTTTTTTCCCATTCATGTGTTCCAACGATACAGGGAAACCCCCACAGGCAAAGGAAAAAAATAAATAAAAAGGTGACGTACGCCATTCGAAAGAGAATCGTTGCATCTTGGGAGAGCGGCCCACACGAGAAGTGAAGAAACACAGCTGCATAGCGACACGGAGGTACGTAAAAGCATAGGTACTGGTACAGCCGTGTGACTGCTTATCTGAGCAGAGGAAACAAAAACAATCCACTCCCTCGCTCTGGTATAGGCTTATATATTCCTTCCCATTTACCTCAACCGTGCCGCATTCCACCCAGCGGGCATTTGACAATTTAAAAAATGGGAGGCAAGTCGAAGGGAAAGAGATCTGGAACGAGGTACAAGTTCTCCAAGAAATTCAGAAAACATGGAGAGTGCACGGCAAACAAATTTTTGGAAAACATTAACTATGGAGATTACGTCGATATTGTCTGCGACTCGACTCAACAGAAAGGTATGCCATTCAACTTCTATCATGGAAGAACAGGAAAGGTATTTCATATCACAAAGAGAGGTGTCGGTGTTTTAGTAAACAAGAGAGTTAAGCATCGAATTATAGAAAAGAAGGTCTGCGTGCGGATTGAACATGTCCGTAAATCACGATGCAACGAAGATTTCAAACTGAGGAAGAAGAAGAATTCGCAACTCATCAAGGAAGCTAAATTGAAGAAGGAATTTATTTCCATTAAGAGGCAACCAGAAGGACCTAAACCCGCGGCCATGATCAAAGTTCCCCCCACAAAAATTATTACTGTCGAGCCGTTGCCCTTTTATGAGGAGTATTAGAATTAGAAGCGGAAAGGAGACAGCGTAGAAATGAAGAAAAGGAAGAAGCGATGAGAAAGTAGCTCCATGAACGAACAAAAAACAGCGACGAATGTTTAAAGAATGTTGACAGTGTGGCAGTCAGAGGAGCCCAGAGGGAGAGAGAGCAACATACAGACAGGGCTATCTAGCATATGAGCATGTGCAGAGGGGGGGGTACAACTGGACCATTTGAAGGAGAACAAAATGGTGCGCCAGAGTGACGCGTTTGGATAATAATGCATTTCCTCCTCCACCCCTCATGAAAGTTTTTTTTCTCTTTTTCAATCTCCCGTCATCATTCTATACTTGCCTTTCCCCCGTTCCCTCTTTCTTCCGCGTCCAACCAGATATTAAATAATTTCGTATTCATGTGAATAGTTTTCCTTTTATACCTCCCTCTTTCTTGCTTTTTTTTTTTTTTTTTTGCTCCCCCTGTTGTGCATGTTTTTTCCAGAAGAGTACCACAAACGCACAAGGGATTTAATTGAAAATTTATCTGCCGCTAGAACGTTCTGTGTCGTGTGTCCGTTCAGGCTTCTCTTACCTTGCGGGGTTGAGAAGGGCATCATGCTGCGTTAGCTAAATCGCCCGAGTGGCCCCTCATTCGAGGGTGATATGCCGGTATCTCTCCACCAACCAGGTCACACAAAAAAGGACCAACCTATCCACATGTGCGCATAATCGGCAGGAGGAAACCGTCGATGTTGCACCATCTGCGCAGGCGTACTTGTCTATGTTGAATGTTATCCCCTCGGGGAGGAGTGTTGAAGAAGAGAAGGCAAATGGTGACACAGACGGGAGAGGTCCCCATTAAAGTAACCATACTATCTGTGCTGGCGTTCTGGAAAGCTTCGTCGTACTTTTTTTTTCCATCACTTCTGGGTTGCTTTCATAACATCTACACTGTACGTTTTTGCCATTCCGTTCGTGTTAGTCTCAGAGAGGTTATGTTGTACTTTTTTTTTTTTTTTACTTAATAGTGCTGCTCAGTTGGCCCATCTGACAAGAGGGGCAACCTTTCTCTCCAAAGCAGTTTCGCATCACTTGGTTGTCAGTTGCAGCCATACCCCGAATTTGGAACTATCCCAAGGAGGGCGCTTTCTCTCCCTTTGCGTCATGTAAAGAGAATTCCCCTCACCGAAAGGGAAAATTACTGGGAGAAAAATATCCACTCCGCGTTTCCCCCTTAGCCGCTTATGCGGAAGCGACGGACGTTCGCCAAGATGAGGCCACATGAAAGGACTTTCGCAAAAAATTAGGCTACATCAGACTGCCTGTATAGAATGGAGGCGCCATGAAACAATACTATCATAATAATACAAGAATATAAAAACGCATACACGAAAAGGATGCGATATACAGAAGCATACTCATAAAAATGTTGAAACATGAAAAAACACACTTATAGGAATGATGGGACATGAAAGCGCATTCACAGAAATAAAGAAACGTGAGAACATAAACAATTACACATGAGTGCTAACCATTTCGCGCTTCGCCTAGTGGATCTGCATATTTATATTCCATTGCAATCATGGGTAATCTCACAAGAAAGGATGAACACATCTAAACGAAATATCATTCTTTTCAATCGTATGCGACATGCAATTAAAGTGGAAACTCCAGATACAACTCTTATTATAAGAGGAGTAAGAATTCAATAGTATAGTACTGCTTCTATATATGCATAGATGAAAAACGTCATGAACAATTATGTAATTTTAAGACGTACATCTTTATGCAAAATGAATAATTTTCTAATCTGAATCTATATGTAGTGGTAACTATTTTTTCCTTCTGAGTAAAAATGTGTACGACCGGTACTGATCTGTTCTCTTTCGGATGCCTCTTTGGGTAGCCCCTTTCTGTATGACGCCAGATGACCTTCATAATTTATCAAGTTAACTCATTTTTTCCGTAGGGGTGCAAAACAGACATAACGCCGTTTAATAAATATTCACATATAAGTATGCCTATATAGGGTTTTTAAGAACTGTATTATAATTATTAAAATGCTCAGTTATTACCTTTGACATTTGTATTCTATTCCACTTTGTCATGCATGCTAGTAAAATCCATCTGTTTCATTATTATGATGTACCCGATGTATTGATAAATGCGACTAGTATATTAAAGCTGCATTATGGTACACACTCCCTTATAATAAGCAATATTCCAATAGCTACATTTATTGAAAAAATGGAACGTTTACATGAATGACGTCCACTTTGTAATAAAAAATACCAATGTACTTCCTTAATCAGTAGTTTTTCATTCAGTTTATGCTCTTAGCATATCCGGTGTGCAACGGTATCGCACCATCTATTTCGAAGAAGCAGTGCGCATCATTTAGGTTGATTGACAGTTAATGCATTCTTGACTTCTAAACAGTACACACAAGGGAATCACGTGCCGTTTATTATTAAACATAGCACAAAAGAAAGAATACAATAGGAACATAAAAAGAGAAACGTAGACTGAAGTTATATATACATTTTAACAGGAGACTCCTTTAAAACTAAACAAACACATTGAGTCAATACTACATTCAAGAAGCGGCGCATTATTATGAGGTAGATTATACATTTTCATATATCAGGGGGTGTTGCACGTATTATCGTAACTACTCGGGTTATACA